ACTGGCTGACGACGGCTAATAAGCCAGAAATGGCCATTCCAGTCTCCCTTGCTTTGCCAGCAATACTATCTACCTATACTACTAGCTGAAGATGTGGTTGAGTACTGCTCATAAAAGCTGTCGGAATGCTCTAGTCTGTCCAGCATACGACACCCAGCAATGGAGGAGTTGCTGTAACGCTTACCGTTAAGCTCCGATCATCAAAGGGTCTCCACAAAATGTCCCAGGCAATTAACCTTAGCTCCCGCAATTCGCAGTACAGAGGTGTCAGTGCAAATGCCAAGTTCATGATTTGGGCCTGACCAGTTTCAGCAAAAACATACCTTACGTGGACCTCGCAATTTTTCGCGTTTGTAATCCTCGCGAACCTTCTTGCGTCTTTCTTCAAGTTCGTACTCTCGGGCAATCTGCTTGTTCGGTGGCATGCCACTCAAGGACCGTATAGTGCATATGTCCAGGCTTTTCTCCAGTTGCTGGCAAATTAAAGCAAACATATGCAGTTTTAGTCAGCGTATATATTTCTTTAGTATGCGCGATAGAAAAATAGCACATATAGGAAATATTTGTTGAGAGGTGGAATCGAACCGCTGACCCCGGATGTCGAGTCGTGTGCTATGCCTCTGAGTTATTATGGCCATTTGACTGCTGCTTGCGGCATTTCCACCCTGGCTCCCAGTCGGCACGTTTCAAGTCTGCAGAAACCATACTTGTTAGTCTGCAAAACAAATTTAGGCTGGGCGTGGATGTAAGCACTCTTCTCGCTTTGCAACAAATTTCGGAGGGTACTTAAAAGTTTTTTCTCAAGTCACTGCTCCAGTATCGGTGTTTTGTTCCTAGCCGGGCAATCCAGTCACCCTGTCGGCATCGCTCATCTGCAGTTATCAGTTTCCTCCAGTCTTGGAAAGTCCCGATGAAGATAAAGGCATTGAGTTAGGAAATGACCAATTATGAAGTTTACGTACGAGTAGGAGAAGGTTGACCATGGGTATAAGTACTCTCCCCGTACTACAGACGACCTTGCGCTACAGTTCAAGGGATACATAGTCACGTATCCTAATCCCGATTATGAGTCCAAACCTGTAGTGGCTCTGCAGCCTGACTCGTGACGCCACAAACGAGGTCACTCCTCACCTAGGACCTCGCGC